TCACCTCTCATGAGGGAGTGTCATAAAAAAGGGCAAAAGTAAGATCTAAGGAGCTGGAATGTAATGATATAATTATATTTCCTTTTTCTGAATACCATAAACTGGAGCAGGGGTACTGTTTTATTATTTCATTTAGCATGCAACAGAGTACAGAGTGCTAAGTTTAACGGGATGTATAGGCACATATGAATATATGTGCATAAGTTTGATGCATCTGCGCAAAGTAGATATACAGACAAGAAGAAATAAACAGAATTTACTTCACATAAGCACAAGTAACAAGATACACAGCATGAGCTGGTAGTTTTTACTAGTTCTTTCATATGCATTTCAAGTATGTGTTTACTATGAGAGATATGTTTTATCCATAAACTGGGGTAGACTTAAATGTTGCTTTTCTAAATCTGTCTAGAGCAAAACTTCTAGGGAGGACTGTATCCAGTGCTCTGTATGACAGGAGGAGGAAGAGCTGTAATTCATATATGACTGGATGTGCATATGTCTTGGCGAGGGTTATGATTTAAGAGTTTGGGAGAATACAGTTGCTTGCCTCCACTTTGTGTTTGTCTGTGCCACAGCTCACTGTAATTAACCTGATGTGGGAAGAAGATTCAGAGAAGAATAATTGAACTCCTTTGATTCTGAGAAATTTCTGAGAAGCCTTGGGAGTTTGTTGTGTCGTGTGAAATTTATCTAGTGAAAAAGGGATTTAACTGCTTCTCCCTGGACATGTGCTTGATGATATCTTCTGCCAGTTCCTGTGTGTCTGTACAGTAGGGTCAGGTTATTCTACCTTGCTTCTGACTTCTGTTTTCCTCCTTCAAATTGAGATGATTCTTAGGCATTGTATTAAATGCGGTGGATTAAAGTACTGCTCAAGTGTGGCCAGCAGATTCCCCAGCGTGTTTGACGGGGCTTCAGTATTCTGACAAAGTTACCTTGCCTCTGCTTTGATTCCTGCCTTGAATTTTAGAAGCAAAGTATGGGTGATTTTGGCACTCCTTATGCTTAGCAAAATTTGGATTACTGGTATGAATCCTTTATTACAAGAGGTAGGATAGTTGTGTTTTGTATTGAACAAAGGTCCTTTCTTTCACATAGTAGTTGTTGGTTCAAGTCAATGTCTCTGGAGAGTCTCTGCCCACCTCCCTCTTTAAAAAAAACCCCACAATAAAAGAAAGGGACTTTTAACAAGAATACCACGTATTTCAGGACATGTAAAAAAAATAATCATGTAATTGCTTTCAAGATATGTTGTCAGGTAATTATCAAAGTAATCCCTGTTTTAGTAGAAAGAATGAGGAGTAGGAGATTGTAGGATAAAATAAGATTAAGCTAAAGTTTCATACGTGCCTTTTTGAGTAACCAATAGTCACAAGGACTCTCCGGAGTCACAATATATATTTTATAACAACATCAGTGTGATATTCCACATATCATTATACATTCATTCAGATATTCATGATATTCATTTTAGCTGAGATCTTAACAGTAGCATTCTTGTGCTCAAAATACATACGTAAAAATATTTGGTGAACAAAGTTGAGGACTAAGAATCATGATGGGTAGTACAGTAACAGTAAGGTCAAACCTTAATATCAAATTTGGTCTTTTTCTTAACTTTTATGTTATTACCAGATGTAGTAGCTCTAGTCCATTTTTCCTAGACTGCCCTTTTGTGAAAAACTTTTGCAACACATCTGTATGTGACCAGTATATGGTGCACTGAAGATACAACCTAGAGGACAGGTACAGCAAGCCTAGAGAGTTATTTGTGTATGAAAAGCAAAGGACTGAGCCTAAAGGATGTGAGTATGGCCGCGCAGAGAAGCCTCTTAAGAGTTTGACAGGAGGATGCTATTATTGCTGTTTGACGCTAATCTCTACGGAAGTCCAAAGTGCTAAAGTTTGGACTTCTGGAAGGATGATTTGCTCCGTCCTCAAGCTGAAAACACAGCACATCTACTTACACTGTCCATTTTTCTTCAATCACATTCTGACAGTACAATTCTCCAAGTTTCTGAACATCAGCCAAAATATAAGCATGTTATATTGCAGTCTACTAGGGAGCCTTATCTGTTTCAAAGCAATCTGGGGACAAAGAATGGACATAGAAAGAATGAAAGTCTAAACACTATGTTTTGTGTAGACATTGACAGATTCTACTTGGCTTTTGTTCGCTTTTAAAACTTGTTAGCCAGGGATAAGAAGTAACCTATTACAAACGCTCAAAATGCCACTTTTTGAGCCTCCACGTATGAGAGAGATGCTAGGAAAATACAGGGGGGGAAATTTTAAAGCATGAACTTTGATTTAAAACAAACAACAAAAAAACCCCAAACGGACACCATCTGAGCATCTTACCAGTTGAGCTGTGTCAGCTCTTCATTCTTTGACTGCAGGAGCTGCTTGTGAATGAGACCTGAGTGCGCTTGCCCTCAGATAACCTCCTCAAGAGGCCTTTCTGTTCTTGTTGCTCTCTGGTCCTAGCGTGCATGCTCTCCTTCTCTCTCTTTTCCTCTTAATTACATTTGTGGTAGTAGGTACCACACTTGCAGTGAATGTTGTACCACCTTGTCTTCTGGAAGGTAAGCACCTGATAGCTAGCTGGAAAAAAATGCATTTGCTTTTGTCATATTTAATTTACCATTGTTCTTTGCCTGTTTTACTTTCTTTTCTCCTTAATGTTTTTGTTTTTTTTTCATCTCTCCTTCTCTGCTGCCTTCTATTTTATAATAACATTTTACGCTTTCATTCTGTTCTTCTCTCACATATTGTAGTGCGTTAAGAGAGATCTGGAGTTAAAGCTGTGACTTTGTGTCCTGGAGATCACATTTTAGATGTGAGCTAGAGGGCAGACTAAAACATTAAACCTGTGATTAGTGAGTCCTAAGACCTTCCTTTGCAACCAAAGACTGGTCTTCCGTGAGATGGGTTGTTAGATGCTGTTGACAGGGAAATAAAAGGGAGCTGCAGTGTGTTGAACCAGCTACATGGTTAAACCTGAGCATGCTAGTGCATTATAATGGCTTTAGCAAGGAACTAACATTGCCAAAAAAAGAGACATTACAGTTCTTGAACAAGTGGAGAGAGTGGGGGAAGCATGCCTGCCAGTTCGGGGGGGGATATAGTCCTTGCCATTTTGTCTTGCTGTAATGCATAAATATGCTACGTACTTATGGAATGTGTGAGACTTCTGCAGTTAACAGTGAAATTTTAAAAAAATAAATCCTTCAGACATCACAGAAAATGCAAGTATTAGTATTATTGTCAGCATGAGAGAACGTAGTATTTATTTGGGAATACTGGTCATCTTGCTAAGTCATCTGAGTCTATATAAAACTCACATAAAGTTTCATAGAGGTTTGGCGTTGCCAATCCCAAGTGCACAACGAGAATGAGTCACATCTTCCAAGATCACAAGATTTGCTTAAAAATCAGAGAGGTTTATTTTTAATTGGGTTTCATTTTTATTTGCCTTTTTATGTCAAAGCTGATTCATTTTTTCCACTGATTTTCTGTGATCATTACTGCTAGCAATGCCCGCCTCCCTCTTTAAAAAAACCCCCACAATAAAAGAAAGGGACTTTTAACAACAATACCACATATTTCAGGACATGTAAAAAAAAAATCATGTAATTGCTGCCAAGTTATGTTGTCAGGTAATTATCAAAGTAATCCCTGTTTTAGTAGAAAGAATGAGGAGTAGGAGATTGTAGGATAAAATAAGATTAAGCTAAAGTTTCATACGTGCCGTTTTGAGTAACCAATAGTCACACCCTAGAGAAGAGTGTCGTCACTGGAACAACATGTTTTATTAAGGACTGGGTACAAAATTAATCTGTTCACAAAAATTTTGTCTAGTATTTCTAGGTATGTGGAATTTTGTTCCAAGTAGTTTGCTTTTCAAATCCTCTTCTACCCCTCCTCCCATCTCTTCACTTTTGTAAAAAAGGAATGAAATCAAATAAATCTTAACTCTACACACTTAAGGCAAAGCACTGAAGGGTTATATACAAGGTTTCTTCCATAATCTTCAGTTTCTCCACAAGGAATTATCTGACATTACTGCAACTGCAAATTGCATCATATGCAAATTGCATCTGTCCCTAATGCTCTTAGATTTATTTATTTTTTTTTTTTTTAAATAAAACTCTTTCTATCAAGTATCCTTACTGGGATGGTCTTGGAAAAATTCTTTTGAAGAGTCAGAAATTCTGTGCAGACACAGCAAATCCCAAAGTGAGGAGATGCAGGGCATGGGCAGCTCTTTCGGTTAGAAATTTATTATTTGAGTCCCAGATTTCAGATGATGTGCCTTTTGCTTTTATAATCAGAAGAGGATTTTTTTTCTCTCTTCATAGCAGAGGTTAATTTTAATTGTGCAAACTAGTCTGTGCTGGATTTTAGTGGACAGTAGGTACTTGCTACAGTAGCAGCAGCATTGTAAAAATGTTTTTATTCCATGTCCACAGTAGTCTTGTAGGTGACTTTTGAGCTAAACAAAAAATCCCAAACCAGCTCCCTGCTGGTATTTCTTTAAAGGAAGCCTTTTGTATCGGAGGAGACAAATTCAGCTGGGATATAATCAAGCACAATAGAAAGATGGGGCATTTGCTTTTGCAAAACTTGAATTTAGCATACCATTTAGATTTTCCTTGATACACTGTATTACTGTATAACTTAGAGTAATACAGTAGTTCTGTAGGGAGTTTTTCCCTTGGTCAAAGATAGGCAACTAGTATAAAACCAATTGCAGGGCAGATATATTAAAATATATAACTTTAAAAGTTTAGTGAAGTATTGATTTTTTTTTTTTATGGTTTTGTTACCTCAAATTAACGTCGCACCAGCTACTGCCTGTCTCTGCATCACTTCTACATAGTCTGAAGAGGTATCATTCACCAATGAGAATGAAGTAAAGTGTCCCAGCAGCTTTATGGGGCAAGGCATATTTCTCAGCAGCTCGAGTTCAAACCCTACTCAAAACTTGCACCAAGTCAAAAAGGAGCTTGTGAGAACGTTCCCTTCACTAGATTTATTGTACAGAACTTTCTATTCTGCTGAACTAACTGTAGATGAGAAACATGCTTCTGGGTAAGTAATTCCATGTGGAGGTTGAAATCTGTCTTTCAACTAGCTGCATAATAGAACGCTGTATGCTTGCTCCAGCTATATGGAAGGAGAAATACATGCGCTGTTTTGCTGATTTATTTTTAATAGCAATCCATTAGTGAAAGCTGTACTCATCTGCTGTGGTTTAGGAACTAAGTAGTCAAATTAGGAAATATTAGAGCTGTGCTTGTGATCTATTTTTTTAGATACTTTTTATCTTTAGGTAAACTACGTCAGAGAAATACAAATGCCAAAATCAGCATTTGAACTTTATCTTTTTTTCCCCTGTTCAGATGGTAATCGTGACATTTTCTGAAGGAAGGCTATAAATGAAAATTCTTGTTAGTAAGCCCATTGGAAGAATGTATTTCTTAAATATCAAAATAAATTTGTTCCTTATTTATGAGCATACTGATAGTTCATTGTAAAAATTTAATGCTTGATTATTGTATGTCTTTAATCTCCATTTAGCATTATGCCACTAAATCCTGTTGACTGATACCATGTTATATAATAGTTTCAAGAACAATAAATACTAATAGCATTTGAAATAGGGAATGCTTTTAGCTGTGTTTTAAAGAACAACTTCAAATTATTGAGCTTATGAAATGTTAATATGTTGCAGATTACACTGTGCTGCTTAGCTGCAACGTTAAAAATGCGCATGATGCATTCAAAAAGTTCCTTAGGATGCCTTCATTCTTAGGATGCCTTGTTAGGTCGAAAACATAAATACTCTGCTTCTATCCTCAAAGTCCTGTTTGTAGTTGGATGAATAGCTTGTAGAAAACATTTTTTATTTTTTTTATTTTTTTCATATAAGGCAACCTTGTCTGGAGTAACGTCATTGATAGTTTTTTCAGATGTTGAAATAAATGCTAATAGAATGCTCATTGGCAGTGAATTTAATGTTATAAAATACCCTCTCCTCTGTGTAAGTATGATCATCCTTGGGCTGTGGCAAATTCCATTGCTTTTAAAACTACCTCTTCTATCTCTCTCTTCTTTTACTAAAAAAGATATGTATCCATTGATCATAATTTTTGGTTACTGTCACATTGTTTTAACTTTCTAAAGGCATGAAAATGGCCGGGGGAGATGTTTTTGTTAGGCAGAATTTAGGATTAATGCAATATTTAGCTTAGTCTAGTTAAATTATTCAGATTTCAGCAAATTAGGTTGCATGTTTGTAGGTGCTTCAGGACTGCAGATACAGCTATTTCATAAGCATTTATCCCTTGTTCTCTTTCTCTCCGTATATGTGTCTGTGACATTGCGCTTATGTTTTGTTTGATGATCATAGTTTTACAGCTTGGGTGCTGAATTCTTTGTGGTAGGTAATGCCTTCTGATTTTTCCAGACCGTTGCTTCTCTGTGTCATTTTGTGTATTCAGACATAGTCATGATAATTTGCTGTGTTGCAAAGAAGTACACGCTGTAGAAGGTTTTAGCAGAGAAGTCTGAGAGAAATCTGGCAATTTGGTTGTTCCTGTTGCTCAGCTATGTGATTTCAGCATTCTGTATTTAGAAATGTATTAATTCTCTCTGAACTTGGAGCAGTCCACACCTTCCATGCCGCCTTCAGGGTGCTTAGTTAAACATTGCTAGCCACAATTTCCCTGTGCTACCATTATCACGGTAATGTCTAGATTCACATTTATCTTTGGTTTTCCAGCATGGCTTATCTGACAGCCCACAGAATGGGCCAGGCTGCTGTGCATTGTCCACAGCAAATGGCTACTCAGTAGTGCAGGCAGCCCAAAAATCTTGGGCTGCCCCTGACTTCTGGGAGACAAGGCATAGGCGATGGGTAGTCCGTGCTGGCCAGGCATCAGCTGTCCGCCGCTCTTGGCCGGCGGATAGCAAGCCCAAGCTGACACTGTCCTGGCAAAATGGCTTGCAAGCTGAGAGAAGTGAGAGTCCAAAAATTGGTGTCGAGCCTTTGGGGACAGTTGAAATGTTATGAAAACACAAAATTCTGTCTATCTGGAAAGTGTAAAAAAAACCAACCCAAAAAACCAACCAAACCCTCAAACAAACAAAACCCAACCAACTAACCAAAAAAAGCCCAGTTTTAACTCATCAAAACTGCTTGCTTTTTGCAGCTCTGTTAAGCTGAGAGAGGTACTCTGTTGAGAGGGGAAAGCCAATCAAACTTGGAAGCTTGTGCACCAAAGATGATATGAATTTTGGCAAGAGCTGAGCAACACAAATGCTGCCCAGATGAGGAAAAATGTCTAACCCTTGCTGGCGGCAGTGGCTTTCAGGGAAGCAGGCACAGGGCTCTGAGTCAAAGGGGCATGAGGGGGTGAGAAAGGGTCTGGGAAAGGGGGTGTTTGAACAGGACTCTGAACCTGTGGGAGGTGTCTGGGTTAAGAAGGGTAATCCAGAAGTACAGAAGTACTTTGCTGTCACTTTCCCAATGATATTTCCTAATAATAGTAATTTAAAAAGCTTTCTCTGTAGGAAGGATGAAACTGGCTTTACAGGTGAGCAAGAATTTCAGTGATGGGCACTGCTAATGGGCAGTGCACAAATAAAATTTGCGCCTTAAGTGTGTATTTAGATAGGTGAATATCCCAGATGCGTACACCTGTTTCTTGGTTTTGCAAAAAGGTATTTGGATTTGTTCAGTACTTGAAAATTTGGCCTTTGGGGAAAAGATTCTTTTATATGGTCTAATGCTACAATGCTTTGAGAAAAATTTAAAATCACCATATTCTATAGCTGTAGAGAACATTGAGATCTTTTGGAATGACTTATTCAAATATCCTTATAGTCGTTGGTGTATTTGTATTTGTATAAATCGAGGAAAGATTCATCCTAAGTTGTTTCTATCCAGTACTGCTTTAAAGAAACAGGAAAATATAATAATTTCATCACTTAAAACTGCGTAAACCTTCAGGAGAAAAAGGGTTACTATTTAAATTTCAGATGAAAGGAGTGTTTTGTGAATTCATCTGTGTCATGTATTCATACCTGAATTAAAATGAGCCATGATGTACTGCACTTTCTTGGGAACATTACATAAACTTCCTTGTTCTAAACCACACACAAGTTTGAAATGTGCAAACAGAACTGAAAGAAACTTTGCAGTAGTTTCTCCACAAGCAGGAAGCCTAATATTTACACAACAATCAATAGGGTAATGGACACAGAGACAAGCAGTACTCTCTCCTACAGAACATGGTTTAACTGGTAGAAGAAGGTAGGATCTATTTGAACAACTTTCTTTTTAGTGAGACGTGTATGGTTGGGGATGGGTTTGGCTTGAGTTCTGGGGAACCTTGTTGGCCAAGATTCGGAGTTGTGCAATTAAAACAAGGGATTGTTTAGAAGTATGTTATATTTGGAACAGTTTTCTCCTGCTTTAATTTCTGGGATTTTGATCAGGTCTTTCATTAGCATTTTTGTGAGACTCTAAAGAAGATTAGTCAAGGGAAAATCTGATCCTGATGCAGGTTGCCTTTGCATAGATAAGGAGTTTCTTTATGTATGATTTACTTCTATCTTCCTGTAATTCTTTGCTATGATGTTTATTTCTGTTTGTCCTGTGTGCCTTTAAAGAGAAGTTCTGCCTCACTGCAGGTAGATAGACAAAGGGAAGCAAGAACACAACTGACCTCAGTGCAACTAGAAAAAGACAAGAAGGGACAGGGGACAGTATACTTACTATTTCTTCTTATTTTCTAATTTCAGGGCTAATAATATTATCTCACAATAACAGTTCAATTTTCAATTCAAGCAAAAAGTTTCTGAATCTAGGAGTTGTAAGAGGAAGATAAACCTGTCTTGGTTCCTCTTGTTTCCAACATCCTTCTTGCGAGGACTCAGAACATTGTTGTTACCTAAGTTCTGTGGGTAGGAATGATGGCTAATTGTATGTGCTATCTGCAAAGACTGGTTGAGAGAAGGGCTTGCCTGTCCTTGTATCCCTGGAGGAGACCTGTCTGTTGGAAGGAGAGGAGGTAACTGGAGTAGAGACACTGCTAAATTTCTGTTTTGAGAGTGGATATTTTGTTCTCCTACCCTGGCGGTCTTTGTCACTGCCCCAGTGGTTCTAGGGGGCCAAGTGTGTGAAGGTTGAGGGTACGGGGATTTAGAAGTAGCATGGTCCTTTCTGAGAATGGTCAGAGTTTTTGGTAGGTTGTTGAAATCTCTCTGGGGCAAAGCTGAGGGTAAGAACTGATGATTTTTAACACTTCAGAAGGTACATCAATAAATCAAGGATTAGATGGACAGGCTTAGGAGATTCTTCCAAATATCAACAGTCAACAGAAACATAAGAATTTACCCCAAAATTTTAAGAATTATTCACAACGGACAGCATCAGGTAGCCCTAATGGGGCTTTTGTTACCTGGTAATGGTACCAGTTTTGCTTTGTTCAAGCATATATGCCCTCTACTTAGTTATAATTGGTGTCAGAAGTGACTCAAAATGTAAAACAATAATAAAAATTTAAACTAGGCAAGGAAAACTTTATTCTAAATGTGTTGCCTATTGCAGTAATACAAGTCAGACAGTGAAGTTCAACTTATACTATGAAACAAAATTTAATTTTGTAGCCTTTGTGATTGAAATATCTGTTTTATTAGCTAATTTCATTAACATTTATTACCAAAGAGAAATGTAGCTCAGACTTGCACATTTCAAAGGGCAGTGCTCTCCAAAGAACTTCTGTATACACCCTTCAGGCATAGATCCAAACCAACGTCCACTGTTCCCTTGATAAAGCAGATTCCTTTATTTGAAGACATAATGATGGATGTAACAGTGATAAGTGCAGTTATCCATAAGTAATGAGGCATCTCACCAGCATTTACAGGTTCTTCCTGTATGTTATTTTCAAAACCCACCTGTTGGCCAACTGGGATCTTCATGTCTATGCAGAGCCCAATTTAGTATTGTTTTCTTATTTAGTAGCCTGCTTGTATGGGCATGCTTGTGTGGTACTAGATAAAAGAGAGATTTTCATATGTAG